AGTATATCTGAATCTCTCTGGAGCTGGGCAGTGCAGAGACCCTAGCATTTCTGGGTGGAGCAGGAAACAGGGCAGGGAGGCCTTGCCAGTGCTACGAATTGTTTTCCAAGAGCTCAACTGCAAATACCGCGTGGAAGCACTCATACACCTTCTGAGCCGGGCCATGGGGAGGGGCCTGGCCCAGGGGAAATTTGGAAAAGGGGCTTCAGGCTGTCCAACCTCAGCCATTTTTGAGATTCCTAAAATGGTTTCCACTGGGTCAAAATCACTGCTTGAAAATAAATCCCATTCCCAGCCAAACATGGTCTTGAGAAGAAGTCACTCAGCCCTCACTCCCCCCTTTACCCCCCAAGGAAACAGAATCCAGATCCTTCCAGGTTCTATTTCAAACCTCTCCAGTGGGCCACCTCAGGTGACCTCAGTTCTCTGGCCTCTTCTTTTGGGCCTTGCTGGCTGCCTACAGCCTCTCCTGGTCTCTGGGGCACCCCTGGACTGGGGACATGCTCCCCTTCAGTGAGATCATGGCAGGATTGGCTAAAAGTATGACCTCTGAGATCATACTGGCAAGTCACTTAACCATCATGCCCTAAAATGGGCATGAAGTATCAATAACAAATAACAGCCAGCAAGTAGTAAGCAGTTGCTATGTACCAGGAACTCCTATCAGCACTTGACCTACACCGGTGATTTAATCCTCACCCAGCCCTAGGGGGAAGGTACTATTACCCTCACCACAGGGCACAGAGAGACTAAACAACCTGCCCAAGGCAGCACAGCAGAAAGCAGAGCACACCAAGGAGTTAGGTTCTGATCCTCCAAGCCAGTTAGGATGAAAGCGGGTTCCGCGGAAGGCAAGCGAGTGTCAGTGGCTGCTGTTAGTGTTTGTATCATCTCCCACCCTAACTCCTGAAAGTCTCCTTGATCCCAGATGGCTGCTCTGCTTGCACACCCCAAACTCCCAGGGTCCTCAGCCCCCGGCACGCTGACCCCACTTGAGCCTGAGCACACTGCCCGTATCAACTCAGTCTGTGCCTTCCAGTCAATTGTCTGCACGTCCTCTCTCCACGGATGGCTGGGGCATCCACTTAGCCCTCAAGTCCCCAGGGGCAGGGAACACGGCAGAGGGAGCTCAGCATGAAATGACACAGGTCTGGGAAGACAGCGAAGCCAGTGCCTGCCGGGGCCGCTCAGGTGTGGGCCCAAGTCGGCCAGACTGTGGTTCCCTGGCCTGGTTTCTTGCCCCACCACTCGGCAGAGGTTAAAGGGGCTGGAGTCAAACTTAAACAGTGCACAATTATTACCATGAGTACCAGCAGCAGATGGAAAGCAGGGGAGTGATGAGAAGAGCGTGACTTTTTGACAAGCTTGGATTCAAATTCTGGCACAGCCGCTGAGCTGTACGTCTTCAGAGGAGTTATTTTTACAACCTCTCTGAGCAGGAGTTTCCTCAAATAACAGACTAATAGTGCCGCCTACAAAGGGTTGTCTAAGATGCTTGCCAGGAACTTGACACAAAGCACCAGGCACAATGCCCTGCACAGAGTGGGCACCCAATAAAGTGTCCGTGGCAGGTGGTCATTTGCTGCTCAGGAAGCCAGAAGGCCCTGGCTGCAATTTACCTGCTCACTAACCATGCAACTTCTCTCCTTGGGCCTCATCTCTCTCATGGAAGAAGAGGACTTACATGGGTGATGTGGAAGCTTTGGCATTTCGTTGAGTCCAAGACTTTTGCAGCCCTGAGGCTCAGGGATTTGGCCTGAATCTTCTAGAAGATCATGGGTGTCCACACCATGAAGCCACTTAAAAGCCAGAACAAACTCCTCTCCCGGAAGGACTCATCAGAGTCTCTCCTGCCCTGCTTGAGGACACACCAGTTTTGCTACTCTTCTTAGCACTGGGTGGGATCTATCTATCTCCCAAATCTACAAGCCATGAAAAGACTTAATTGTGGTGTGGCTTAAAGATGGAGTCGCTCAATAAGGGAGAAGAAAGGAGAAAAGAAACAACCCCAGCGTGAGGCCAAACTCCACACGGCCCCTCCCGTTCTCTATATATATATCCGCCCTTGTGTGTGAGAGCAGAGCGGGGAGGCGCTGGTTAGTCCCCATGACACATGTTAGGATGAATCAAGATGCCTTCATTATGTGTCCACTTAACGCTCATTCAAACATGCCACAAAGTGGAAGTAATTAAGGAATCTGTGTCAACCTCAGGGCGACCTTTCCCAGTGCTGCAGCACGTGGCCTTACACATGTGGGCACGTGGGACGTCAGCCCTGGCTTTCCACATTAAGAGCTGCAGGCAGCCTTGCTCTGGCACCAGCCATGGGTACCGTCCGCAGGGGGCAGTGAGGGGCTCTCCAGTGCCAGGTGGGTGAGTGAGTCCGGGGCACTCAAGCCAATGCCCGCAGGTTTGGGGCTTTCCCACCGGCCCCCGTGGTCAAGTAGGAAGGGCAGCTCATTGTGGATGGTCTTCAGGGCACACGGAGTCACCCCAGGCCCTTCCTTGGTGGCAATGTCTTTCCACCCTCCGAGATTATTCAGCCTCATCTGGACCTGTTCCCAGGCACAGTTAAGAAAGAGGTGCACAGGTAGCTGAGAATGTCTCCAGCCTTCTCCTGCCCCCCTCAAGGACCCTGCCCCTCCCCCAGATGCAGTGGGTCTGAGTGTCAGAGAGGACTCTACTAGAAGGAGGGCAGGAAGGCCACCGCTCCTTGTTGGCAGACGGAACACGAGACACACTCTGGAGGATACACAGTCAGCACCCCTGTGTGAGTGAGGGGAGCGTGGCGCACTCAAGCCCCCGTTGGGCACTGTTTGGCCAAACGCCTGAGCTAGAATGGGAACTAGATGAGGCCACAGATGAGACGGGGTGCCTGAGCTACAAGAAAACCAAAAAAAAAAAGTGGCCTGCTTTCTCTGTGTACAGATTGATGTGGAAATAACACAAGAGCTGTGCTGGGCCAGGTGAGTGACATCTATACATGACACGGCACCCTCAAGGCACGCCATTCTCCTTCTACAAAGTGGGGGGCATAAACCCAGTTCTTCCTGGTGCTGCAGGGCCCTGTGGGAGGAGGGTGCCTGGCGCCCTGGTCAACTCTTACAGGAGACTGCTCAGTGGTCTTCAGGCTGTCCACAGGCTGAGCGAACGAAGGGGCAGTGAATGGGCGTGGCATGGCCCTGTGGGGCCTAGGCAGGGAAGTAGGGTGTACAATGGAAGCCTTCAGTTGTCTCCTTTCTTCCCTGTTCCCCCAGACTTAGAAGAGCACAGCCTCCTCTGCAAAGCCCGGGCAGATCCAAATCTGTCCCCCCAGCCAACGAGTCAGAGCTCGGCGGAGCCTTGGCCGAGATGGATGGATCGCCATGACAACTAGCTGGGACTAGAATAGAGGCAGCCGGAGAACCTTGCTCCTCATCCCACAGCCCCTTGCGGGGAGCTGAGGGTCCTCACTTTCCTATGTAAAGCCCACTCTCAAAGGTGCCCCGGTGCTTCAACCCATAGTCACCCAACCTCTGATCTGCCAGAATATTTGCAGACCTGGCTGGAGAGGGGTGTTCCAGCTGACAGGTCCGGAAGCCAGTATGCAGCAGACGTGAAAGTGAGAGTGCTCTCATCAGGGCGTCAGATAAGGATGCCTGCCGAGTGCCTGGCTAGGTGGGGAGCGCTTGGCTCAATCAATGTGGCACGCACATAAGGAAGCCATTACACTAACAAAGCTGCAAATGTAAAAATAGAGTTTCACATAGTTTCCTGGTTACCACATTCTAATTTGGATGGTTTTTCAGTGCCAGTGAAGTTTGGTTTCCTTTGTCCCTGCCATGCCCTGCGTGTGCACTTACCCTGGGAGGGGGCAGCCTGCTTTTAGATGCCTGCTCTTTACCCCAAGGCCCTCCTTCACAGGGCGCGTCACTGCTCTGTTTTCAGGGTCACAGTGCCCCAAGGTCACTGCCGGCAAGCAGCCCCACAGAGGGCTCCGAAGGGCCCAGCTCCCAGGTGGAGAGGGACACGGGGCCAGCAGGGGACAAAGGAAGCAGGACTCACACACCACCTGCGTCCTGTGACATCAGGCCAGGCTGTTTTAAGTCCAGTTTGCCCACCAAAGCAGGATGCTGAGAGGAAGCTGTAAGGCTTAGACCCTCTGGACAATGCCAGGTTTGCCAAAAGCAAGTTGATCCCTTTCCTGGAGCAAGCTTAACACTGATTGCCTGCAAGGTGATCTCCTGTGGGTCATGACTATCTACCAGGTACTTTTTTTTTAATTGTAAGAAAAGCAACACACAGCTAAATCTTGCTCAGAAGTTAGAATCTGACCTATTAAGGGCCTGGCCTACTGTACACAAGGCTTTCAACTCACCATTCATTCATTCAGAGATACCTACTGTGTGCACAAGGTCTCACCATTCATTCATTCACTCATTCATTCATTTATTCAGAGACGCCTACTGAGCACAAGGCCACAGAAGACACTTCACAAATCCATGGCCTTAGAGTTCAGGGGCTTCCTCGTGCCTCTCTCTCATTCTAGTTCCGTGAATGGTAGTTTGTGCATCAGGTGACATGTTATGACTTCAGGATGCCACAGGGATGGTGACATGCATGGTGACATGGTTACAGTGGCCCTGAGAGAGGCAGTGGCTGTCAGGCAGTGAGCCAATGGCTCTGGACTGATTCCCTGGCTCCCGGCACCTTCATTTTAAACCTGCACTTTGCTTTGCTTTCGGCTCTCCATCTCCCAGCTTGTTACCTTTCTGTCATGCCTCAGTGACTCCCGCAGCCTGGACATCAGAGAAACATGGTGCCCAGAGGTCACGTTCTGCTCCAGACCTTGAACTGTGCCTCCACTCAACAGATCAAGCCTGGCTTGAGTCAGTGCTCGAGGGCCAACCCATAGACCAATGTCTCCTTGTTTAGTGACATCACTGCTTCTTCCATGTGGACGAACTGCCAGCCAGTGGCTTCCCTATTCGGAGGACAAAGACCTTCTCCAGAGCACTTACCCACACAGAAGCTCTCCGGGGTTCTGCCGGGAGGGCCACAGCAGCCATCAGAGGCCCAGCTGCCTTGGGGGAGGGGGTCAGGTTCCTGGTTGGCCTGCAGCCTGTGGAGCAGAGAAGGGTGGTCACTCATGGTGAAGGTTGTCCTGGCCTGGAAGTCTCTCTGTGGGTCTAAGGACACCCCGGAGCTTGGCTCCTCCTTTCTGCTGGTGTCCCACACCCTCTGGGTGTGCACTCCAGCAGGGAGCAGGCCTTCTGGGAAAAGTTGGGCAGAGCGAGAGTGGGAGAAGAGGGCACCAGGGTACTGGATGGCCCTTACCCCATGGGGCAGAGGGATCCCACAGTTACCACAGGACTTGGATCCCTAGTCTTGCACGGACCCTGCCATCAGTCCGGGCACATGCATACAGCTAAATGCACGCACACAGGCTAGGTCCCTTGATGCTGATGTCTCTGACGCTCTCTGAGAGCTCGGCACACACAGTCCAGGCATCAAGGAGGTGGGGGAAAGGGAGGGATGGGCAGAGCTGGGGCCACCGACTCCAGGGGAAAGTAAGCCCATGCTGGGCCACTTGTGGCAGAGGAAGGAAGGGTGAGGTCTCTGGGCACCAGCTCCCCAGCGCACACAGGCCTGCGAGCACAACCCCAACCACACAGTCGCTCCCAGGAACAAAGGCTGTGGGAGCTTTTATTATAGGCAATTACCCTGGGCTCTGGGAGCTGGCCCGCCCACCCCTCCGCCAGCTGTCTCCAGCTAAATGGACCCTTTGGCAGCTTGGCAGGAGGGGGAGGGGAAGCTGTGCAGGCAAGAGGGAATATCGAAGGCTGGTCCAGGGGAGGGGCCGTCCAGGGGACAGGAGGGGCTCCTGTGTTACTGAGAGTTGTCTCTCTCTCTGTCCGGTTTTCACTTTTTTCAGCACCTAGGTGGGAGGCCTCTAGGCTAAGAACTCGCTAGGCAGGCTGAGGCATCTCCTCTATGGTCTCACTCGGTCATAGTCAGCTGGTGGAGGAGACGACTCTGAGGTGTGGGTCATTCTGGTGTCTGGGATTGGGAGATGTGTCTGAGCACGGCTGAGCTCTAGGTGGGTGCTTGGGATGGGGATAGGGAGGGTGTTCAGAGAAGGGGGTGACCTTGTCTTGTCCTTGGGGTGCTCAGTGTACTGGGGTTGCTCACCACATGTTGCTACCAAATTAAATGCTGGCCCAGATATATGAGGGTCAGGGGGACTCAGGCAGAAATGAGCGTGGGGCTGGCCATATTTTTTTATTTTTTTTTTAATTTATTTCTTGATGCATACAGAACTGGGGTATAAGCCAGAGGTACAGGGCGGTGAGAGGATTCACCAGAGTCAGTAGAATAGTCAGAATAGGCAGGTTGATGAAGTACACTGCTGAAGGGAGCAGTAGGTGAGACCAGAGAGGTCTGCACACCATGTGGGTGAGCTCTGGGGCTGGGGATTGAACTCACACTGAAGTGGCTGTGGCCAGCTTGCAGTGCTGCGTCCCAACCCGTTGCACCACCAGTGAGGGCCCAATAGTAGGACATTCTACTGGGGACAATTCCAGATAATCCCATAGTGTTGACATGACATGGTGTGTGTGAAGAGCTAGGGAAGCGCTGTCTGGCCTGGGCAGGCCGGCAGCAGCCAGGAGTAGTTTGCTATGGTGTTTATGATGCATCAGCTTGAGGCAGGGGTCAGGACTTCTGGGTCAGGACCCCATCCAGAACAGACCCAGTCTCCAAACTCAGTGATCACCTTCAACACAGACAGGCGACTGCCTCTCCCTCACTTTTCAGATTGAATGGACAGTACTGTCTGGGGGAGGGGGGTAGTTGGGTGAAAAATGAACCAGAGAGCAAAAAATAAGTAACCCTGACACTGATAACTGACCCCTTCAAATTGAAGCCTGATGGCAGACCAGGCTGAGGAGGAAGGAGAGAAGGATGGGGCAGGGAACACCGGGCAGCTGGAGAGCAGTGGTTACTGCAGGGACAGTGGCTGAGCAGAGAGAAGTGAGGCTAAGACCTGGTGGGGGCAGACCAGGGGGTGTTTACACCTTCTCTGGCCCAGGGAGTAGGGGCTGCCAGGGGGAGGTGGTGGCTGGGTCAGAGCAGAGGCAGGAGGAAAGTGTCCTTGGGGAGGCACACCCAGGCTTCTGACAAGAGATGGCTCTGGAGGACGCAGCAGAGAAACTTCGGACAGGCAGTTCCCTGGAGAAACAGGCAGGGCAGGACCAGGCTGGACGCCGTGTGGGACGCCATTATTTCTGCTTCTGCCATCAGTTGGAGCTTAGCGTAAGGCCCGGGTGCCAAAGCAAGAGGGGAGCAGATTTCCACGAAAACGGGAGGTCTGTGGCTTCTAGGGAGCAGATGGCACTTCCTTGGCTCTGGAACTTGAAAGAGTAGCCCAGCCTGGCCCTGGGCAGAGTTGCCCGTGGTGTGAGCTCCAGGCCTCATGGGGTGTGCAGGACTCCCACCCGGCTGCCTGTAGGACCCTTGGGGTGTCCTTAGTCTTAATCTTCCCTTGCCCTAACAGTGACCCCACCTTCAACTCTACTGCAGGACCTGAAAGGAGCAGGGTCCAGATGAAGAAAACCCCCATTGAGGGGGAGACACACGTTTCCATTTGGGTTCTAAATGCAAAGATGCATTAAATGTTTGTTGAGTGAAGGAACATGATCTGTTTAAGGTGCACTGAAATGTTCAGAAGAAATAATTCCGACCTCTTTGGAAAATGTCAGATTCTAAATGTGCTCAGGGATTTGTAGGGTAGATCATATAAAATCTGCAACAATTGAATGCTCAGACACTTTTTCCCAGAGAATGAATTCAAAATGAAGGAAATCAGGTAGGAAAAGAAAGTCAACGAGCCCATAGGGAAATGCTTTACTAATTGGAAAAAACATTCAGAGAAGGGCTGCCCTGCTTTTCTGCTTTCTGGAGTTCTCACGTCAGCTGGGGGACCTAAGTCAAGGGATCACCAGGGATGCCATGGGAGTCAGGAGTCACCAGGGAAGAGTCGCCCTGGGTCAGGGACAAGGCTGGAGTTTCTGCTGGAGAGGCTGCCTTATAGGTCATTCGTAAACCTCTCTCCTTGCTGGAAAGTTCTTCCCACTGAGCTTCAAATCTCTGTGAAACTACTTCTAACCACCACAATGTTGACTCAGTTCTTTGGAGCTGCACCAAGAAAATCTAATTCATCTCACAACACGACAGCCCTTCAAATATTTGAAAACAGCCCTCAGACCCTCTCTAAGCCTTCCTTTTCCAAAGCAAACTGCTACAGGTCCTTTAATCATTTTTATAACACTCTTTTTGAATCCCACACCAGCCTATCTGTCTTTCTTTAAATGTGCATCCATTTCCTTTTAAAGTGCGCTGTTTGCAACTGAATGTGATACTCTAAATGAGGCCTGCACACAGGCACAACACAGTAGGACTATTACCTTCCTTGTCCTAGACAGCTGCTCCCTGCCGCGTCAGTCACTATGGTCTGAGTGCCTCAGTCTTTTCAGAGATCGAGTCACAAGGTCCCAGCAGCTCCCTAACCCCACCTCCCAGACACTCTGACGCCACAGAGGCCCTCAGCATCCAGGGAACCACGAGCAAGCTTTTCTTCACCCAAAATGTAAGTGTGAGTTTCTTCTCAAATTAGCACAGGAAAAAAAAACACCCGGGACACCAGGTTAATCAGGCGGCACTAAATTTGCATATGAGCATTTCTTAGCTGTAATACTCTACTAAACAAAAATTTAGTTTTCTCAATGTGGTCATTTCCTTGAAGAGTGACATTTTTATTCTAAAAATGTCATTGACCCAAGTGTTTGTTTTGCTATGGACTCAACTCTCCACCTCTGAAGAAAGCTAAAGAGACCAGCCACCGCTGCGGCCGCAGCCCAGTGTGACCATTTGAGAGACATTACTGATCAGCCTCGGTACGCCAGGCCCAGGGCAAGATGGGAAATGGAGAGGGAGGGCGAGAGCGGGACGACGGAATGCCATGGGCAAGCGGCAAGGGTGCCGGTCACTAAGAACCCAGGGCCGTTAGTGTAAGTCCCGGTGGGGCAGGGGTCCTGGATGAGCTGGACAAAGCTCACCCACTTGCAAATCTGAAACTTAAGCACCCACGGGTGCTAATCCACAGGCCCCTAATGCCAGCTCATCATTTCCCAGGGAGTAGGAGAAAAAGATATTTAAGGGATGGTTCTTGGGGGCCTTGGCTGGGGCTCTGCAGTTGAGAAGGACCAGAGCTTGGGTCCAGTCCCCCTTTTTTCTTCCTAATCCCATCTCCATTCTCCAAAACCTCAACTCTGCAGGCCCCCTGCTTGATGTCTGCAGTCTGGAGTCCTCTGGTCTCCACCAGCCACTCAGCACCAAGGCCCTTCCCCCCTGCCCCCAGCTACTCCCAGCTACCCCCTCACTTACCTGTACTGGAAGGGGGCCACCGTGGCGGTGACTGGCTGACTCTGCGTGTGGGCTGAGGAGAAGCTGATGGTTCCGGAGGCGGGGGAGGAGGGCTTGCTCAGCCTTGGGCTGCAGATGGGAGAGGAAGCCCCTGAAGTTACCCCGTCACCAGGCTCCAAAGATCTGGGGACCCCTGAGCTTCTAGAGTTGACATCTCTTTGGTCTTTCCCTGGACAGTTGGGAGGCTTCCGACCTTCAGGTATTTGAGCTTCCCCGCGCGAGCTCATCCGAGACGGGCTCCTGCCCCGGGTCTGGAGGATGGGGATCCCTTCCTGGGCCACCTTCTTCTTGCCCTGCGTGCTCTGTGGCTCTCCAACTCTTCTGGACCCTGCCCTGCTGGAGAGGGCAGCTTTGGGGGTTGCTCTGGGACTGCTCCATGGGGAACTGGAGAGGCCTTCGCTCCGCTCAGCAGACTCCCTCACCGCCCTGGAGGCTGTGGGGGACCCTCTCCCCCGTGAGGCCCTAGGAGAGGAGCTTCTGAGAGGGCCCGTGTCTTTGCTCAGTCTTGGAGAAGCCGCCCGCTGGGGGCTCGGCGCCAGGCCAGCCTGGCGTGGCCGCAGCTGGGGAGAGGCACCAGGAGTATGAATCCTGGTCTGGGAGGCGGCTCGAGGCACAGGGATGGAGGAGGCATAGTGGGGGCGGCTGGTGGAGTTCACATTGGCCATCCCATTCATGATCAGTGAGGCAGGCGATGTGGACTAGCGTCCTGCAGGGAGAGGAGAGAGGAGACTGTTAGGTGCTGGTCCCATCCCGGGGCATTGGTGTTGGGTGCAGGGAGAGGCGCCAGCAGCCAGGGCAGGCATGGGGACCCAGGTTCATTTAACGTTCTCTGTCTGCCGAAGACTGGGGTCAGAATATCCTCTCCCAGCCGCTCCCCCTTGGATCCTTCCTGGGACCTGCATCTGGGAGGCCCTGCTGGCGGTAAGTCAGCTTCTTTGTGTCCTCAGTTTTCCTCTATGTGTTCCTTCCACTGGCCACTTAACCTGACACCTGCTTCTACCCTGGAGACCTCTTTAGTAGAGCGTAATCTTCCAGACCTCACTGGGCCCCAAAATGGGTCAATCGGTCTCCCCAAATCATAAACTTGCCAACACCCCCCCACTCCAGCTCCAACGACTTGACTCATCCCATTCACTGGTCTTTCTCCTTGTGACCTCTCCTGGTCCCTCCCCACGAACCCCATCCCTGCAGGTACTGGCTCATGGGCTTCATTTCTAGCCCATTCCCTACCCATCTCTGCCAGGGGGAGACTGAGCTCTGCCACCTTTAGGTGAGTAGCCCACCTTTGGATCAAGGCAGAGCCCTCCAACAGCCCCCCGGCCCCAGCAGTTGAGCCCTTGACTCGGAATTCTCCCATCTCTCTTCTGTATTTTCAACTGCTCCTCCTCTTCCCCTCCCAGCCATGCTAATTAATGAGCTAATTGATCTATTAATCACTTTCACTTCAAAGGGAATATGAAGCAGTTTTCAAAGACACAAGCAACCAATTCCAGATAAAGAGTTAAATGTATAAAATGAAATCGTAAAGAATTCGCAGAACACATGCACGCATGTTTCCATAATACTGTTGTGGGAAAGGCTTTTGCAAGCACCACATCAAAGGCAGAAATCACAAAGGAAAACATTGGTAGATTTGAAATGCAGAAAAATTAAATTTTCAGCGCAAAACCCTTTCAAAAGCTTCAAGTCATCAATAAGCCATAAAAATATTTGCAGCAAGGAGTTAACACCTTTGCAGAGAGGGCACACTGCTGAATCGATAGAAAAGAGCCAACTTCCCATAGCAAAAAGGGAAAAGACTAATGCGAGAAATACACAAAATAACAAATACAATTGGGAAAAACACACACACACAAAAATTCATTAAAATGCAAATTTAAAAAGGTTTTGTTTGTTGCTATCAAATTTACTATCTTTTAGAAAATAGTATCCAGGGCCTCCCTGGTGGTGCAAGGGGTTGGGTCTCAGCACAAGGAGGCTATGGGCAGCCACTGTAGCAAGAGTTCGATCCCCAGGCAGGGAACTGACTACAGGGTACAGCAGGCCTCTCCTGTCTGCTCCCCTCAGCAGTGTTTCAGTAGAACTGCCTGTTCTGCTCCCCACTCTGTCTCTGGTGAATCCTCCCCCTCCCTCCCTACCCCCCAAACACACAGTTCTGGCCTATATCCCAGAACTTGGGTGCATAAATAAAATAAATCACTTTCTTTTAAAGATTTTTTAATTATTTATTTGCACATACAGAAGTGGGGTACAGGTCAGAGGCTCAGGGGAGGCGAGAGGCTTCACCAGAGACAGAGTGGGGAGCAGAACAGGCAGATCTACGAAGTACACTGCTGAGGGGAGCAGTGGGCGG